GAGTATTTCAAGCAATGCTGTGATGGTTTGCCGATCTCCACCGCCCTCCACCGCAGTTTGCCCGATCTGCCTGCACCCTATTAGGAGCGACTGCGCTAGTTGAAGGGATGTGGCCATGTGTTCTGCTGGTTTGTCTCAATCGACAGGTATGATGTTTGTATCTATCTTATCCGGCCTCCTTCTCAGGTGCTCACCTGCGAGACCAGCCGCGAGAAGGTTCCCTTTGCTTGTGTGGCTGGGAGCGCGTTTCCTCTCCGCCCCGTTGATATCCAGGTACAGATCCCATGGAAATATTTTTTTGTTTTTAGCGCTTATTGCTCGGCTATAACGGGGATACGGCGAGGGATTTTATGCCGTGGTGGCTGGGATGCGGAGAAGCTGCGGAACTGTACGGATGCGCGCCTCAACAACTTGCGGACGCTGGCCGACCGCCCTTCTTTTTGCTGCCTGACGCTAGATTGTGACGGAATGTTTGAGTACAAATAGTGTTTGATAAAATAGATTTGTTTAGCCACCGTAATGGTCGTCTACCGTTTTCGTGTGCGGAAGTGCCGTCGCCGACACTGTCGCCCTTGTGGGCTCGACGATCACGGTACAGACGAGCTGTCAACAAGAAAATGTGCTGCGCAGTGAGGGTGGCTTTATCCGCTTACCAACATTACAATCTAGATGACGCTTCATTCTCGCTACTTGCCTACCAGGAAAAATGTGGCCTAGACATGGTCCGCGAATGCCCAAGAAGAGGTTGCCAAGCAATCATTGAGAAGATTGTCGGCTGCCATCACATGCACTGCCCAGAATGCTCGATCCACTTCTGTTGGATGTGCTATTACATGGTGAGCGGATTTGTGGTGTTTTTTTATGACGATTTCAGGATGACAAGTTCGCGGAGATCTACAAACACTTGTCCGACGTTCACTCGAAGTGGACAGATAGACCGTTCATTTTCGCAGAGGACGGCCGGCTTTTGGGTAAGGCTGACGCTCTATCATCTAACTCCTTTTCCAGAACACCCGCCCGACGATGAACGCGAATGGCACGCCGCGATGGAAGCAGTCTGGGGCATCTGAACGGACGCCCCTCGAAATAATAAAATGAAAAATGCATTGATATTAGCATTATTATTGGTTCGCTTGTTTTGTTTTAATTGCATGGGTGTTGATATTGTTGTTGTTACTGGATAAATCGTTGCTTGGGTCTACAAGGGTTTTACTAACAGGCTACGAATCAGCTTTCCGTATTTGATTGCGAATCAGCGCCCAAAGACTGCTCTCGGGATGGCGAACAATGACCCCGGCACCACGGAACCCATCCATCCGCCGTTATTCTGATTCTGAAAGGGTTGGAAGTGAAGTGGTGACCTAGATTTTGAGGTACTGGACTGTTAGCGAGGGGCGGGGGGAGCTAATGTAGAATTGTTTGCCCGTTTTTGGTCATTTTTCATAACCTTTTTTACCAAGAAATGCGCAATTTTTATAGGTTTTTATGAGCTTTTTATATCTAAAAACTGTAAAATGGTATTGTATTTGCCTATGACCGTGCAGGATTACTGGGAAAAAGTAGTTTCCCCCTGCTAACAGTCCAGTACCGAGCTTTAAACTCACCGCTGGGCGGACCTCAGGTCCGGAGTCTCGGTAGTTGTTATAATTGTTATTCTGGAAATGGAAACGCGCTAGTCGGGGTCCTCATACGGCTTACCTGGTAATATGCCATGGATGTGAACACCATCATGGCAAGGATCATCAGCGTTTTCAAGAATGCCATGTCGAAGCGTGAAGAATGACTGATTCCGCAGCATCCACTCGAGCATTATATCCCACTTCGACAACCTCTCGACAAATAAGCCCCACAATAACGACAATGCAGCGCCGCCTCAAGAACGATATTTGCTAAAAACCTTGCGCGACGTGAAGACCCCTACAACATTCAACGATGTTTTTTGACTTGCGCGAGTTGCGTACGTAGAATAGCTGGTCGTGAATTATTGCGGGCGGAAAAGAAAGGAGCAGACGCTTTTTGGTCGCTAAAAAATTGGACTCGCCGTCTGCCATTTGATCTGATCGCCAGCGTAATTAATTTTCGGGATGGACTGGGAGGGGGAGAATGAATTAGGGGCTTTGGGGGCGGCCGACTACAGCGTTCGCTGTTTTTCTGGTAATGGGCGTGGCCCTTGAGCACTAATGGAATTCTTTAAGGTTTTGAATGCTTGATCGGGCCACGATGTCTGTCAGCTCGCACGGGTTCCTGGCGCGTTCCATGGATGTTGACAATAGCGGGGCGGGATCGCCTGGAGGCGTCTCAAACAAAGCCGAAAACGGGAAATCGTGTGATTGACCGCCGCCCACTCGCCATTACGCAAACATTCGTGAATAGGTTTTTCTCGTATTTTTTGGAATTTTTATGCGGACCAGGGTTGAAAAGCCACTTCGCGACTTTTCAACCCTGGCCCCGTCTGACCCCGTTTTATCCTTGACTTTGCATAATTTTCCTGAATTCAGATGACAAAAAATGAAGAAAAACCACCTGTTGAGCCCATTGATATAGTCGAATCCCCACTTCCGGTCTACGCTAATTGTTCCTAACAAGGAGGTTTTACAAAAACTTAAATTTAATGTCGAGAATAGGTGATTTTGTTAAATCTGATATGCGTGCAGTCATCTCCAGGCCATTACGCATCTAATGACGTACCAGGGTTGAAAAGCCGCTTCGCGACTTTTCAACCCTGGCCCCGTCTAACCCGCAATATTCTTCACTCTGCATACGTCTCACGAATCCCGATAAGAAAAATGGAAAATGGCACTCTCTACCTGATTATATAGGCTACCCCCACTTCCGGTGCATGCTAATTGTTTACTAACAAAGAGGGTGCTCGAAATTTTTACAAAAAATGAGATTTTGTGTTGAAAACAATTAATTTTGTAAAATCTGAGAAGCGTGCAGTCATCCCAGAGCCATTACGCCCCTAATGACGTATCATACATAACTTAAAAAGCCTTCCCCTATCGAGATATTCTCCGGACATGGTGACGGAAGTTGCATGCAAAGTGGCACACACACACACACAGACACTACTTTTTTTATATATAGTAGGATCATACATATGCAAAGTGGCACACACACAGACACTATTTTTATATATAGTAGGATTACCTTTACCTAGGATTCTACCGCTAACTCCCCCCTGTTGATAGTCCCATGCCTGAAATTCTAGGTTTTAATTTTTTTGGCTCCTCGTTCGGGTTGATTGGCTAAATGAATACAAACCGCGGCCAAACTTCTTTGCGCCCCGTAAAAGCCCGCATTCTAACCTGCAGCTGTTTGTGATGCGTCGCCTGATCTTTCGACCGTCCACAATGTCATTGTACGCCTTTTTCTCCGGCACCCAGCCACTCCCTCAACCCGGGATGGCCTTGGGAAAATCGACAGGATCTCTTCCTCCCGAAACGATCACCGCGAAAGGACAGTGAGGGGCGCCGGGAATCGCCTGTTTTCCGGCCCTCAGCCACACTCCCCTTTTATTTTGTCGCGATGACGATGGGGGCCTTGGCGGGGGAAGACGCACTCTTTGACCGGTCTTCGTTTAGGGTTTTCGGATTGAGCTTTCCTGTTTTACTAAAAATCGTAATTAGTCTCACCTCTACGCCCGTTATCATTTCTGACATTTTTGGCCAAAAAAACCAATTTTTCCGTATCTTTTATGATTTTGAAAAATTTTTATTTAATTTTTTTTTTGAAGTTTAGATCTGAGAACATGCTAAAAAATAGTTTGCTTTCACCAACGAGGCGTAAGGGACTCTGGAGATAAAGTTTTAAGTTTACGCATTTTTGTGGTTTTTCGTAATTACTCTTAAAAGCATAATCTTGGGATTTAATTCTAGGTATTTTCCTGAATTTTCTATCACTTTATCACCCATGGTTTTGCAGATTTCCGAGAAATGCGCCCGTCGTTTCCCGGAATTTAAATGGGCATACCTACCTAGGCGGGGGCGCTGACTCGCCGAATTCGGCCTTGGCTCCTCGGGCAAATCTCTTCGATTCTCCCCCCAAAATCGTCCATCGACAACAATACCTCCTCGTCGCGTACCCGCATGTTGATATTTTCGCAGGAAAACTTTTTTGGTCAAACCGAACCCCCGTGTCGGCTCCATATTTGGCGTATCGCACCTCAGCGGCCCCATTACGCAGATGAGCCAATAAAAATTTGGGGTCGAAAACAAGGGCGGACAACTATTAGGCGGGCAAGTTGTTTAGCGTTCGCTTGTTTCATCAAAGGAAGAACGCTTTATTGTTCGAATTTTTCCTATAAGCCCAGAAACGTCTAATAATTGTAATTTTAATATTAGTGATGTATTTCCAGTGGCAAATATAAAAAAGCTTGAAAACAGTTTAAGTTCGAATTTTGGTCGAAAACCAGACATTTTTCGTCAAAAATAGTGATTTCTTGTATTTTTTCATAATAAAAAACAGTTTAGAAACATTTCCTTAGTATTATTAGAAAATGGGAGTCTTGGAAAAAGCCTCTCTCTCGATACGAAAGCGTTCTTTTTCGAAAAATTTATCCTACTCCATTTCCATTAGCGTATTTCCTGTAATCACGTGGTATCTGATAACCGGCTAAATCCATTCGACCGTACAGATTATCCCGCCTATCCTCCCGGCGCATTTTCTCGGAACTCGGAACCGAGGCGAAAAGTGTGTTCCGCGAGTGGCTGCCGAGGGTACGTCACGCTCTGGAGCGCGCTCCTTTTGGGCGGACGACCTGTTTTCGCTCAGCACCACTATTGGCTCGACCCCTTCCCCCAACATTTTTCGACCAATACCCTATTGTTACGAGTTTACGGAACTTATATTACAAAAGATTACAGTCCTGGAAACGTATAAGGCACTTTGTCTCGAGTTTTGGCTAGAATTCGCTAGGTTTTAGCCCTCTTCGGCTTCACCGTGAAGTATGACTCGTCAATTTTACCATTTTTAGGACCACCTATGCAGCGCCGAACAAAATGAGCGCCAACACTCGCACCGACTGCTTCTACAACCTCAGCGCCGAGGCGCGCCTCGACTATTTTGAGGTGCGTGCTTTTGCCTTATCGGGGCGGGGGGGGAGGATTTTTTATTTTAATCCAGAAATGCCTAGTGACGTAACAATAAGTATTTTAATCGTATTTGTAGTAAAATTTACGTAGATTTCAAGGGGAAGTATCTAAAATCGTTGAAAAATTTTAAATTCGAAATTTTCGTCGAAAAATATATAGATTTGTATTTTTAATAAAAATTCGTAAAGTTTTTGCGTTTAGTCATGATAAAAAACGGCTTGAAAAGCTTCATCTGTTTCTTTATATTAGAAAATTGGGATAGCAAAGCAAAAAAAGTTGGTTTCCCCCTGATGCCCCCTCCCGATAATGCAAAAGAACCTGAACGCGATAAAGGGAAATAAGAGATAAATATGGAACATAAACGATGCAGAGCAATAATTTTGCGACTTCAAAAGCATGTATTTTTACCGCTTTCAGCACGAAAATGAGGTGGAAGTCAACCGGATGTTCCGCATGTTCCACGGCTACATGCTCGGGCCCCTCGGATTGACGGCCATCATCTTCAGCTCGTTATTCATAAGTGGGTCCTAAACACAAAAAGCGAAAACTAAAGCGTTTTAGTCACAACGTTCCGCGCGATCCGGCTGCGTCGCGTGTCGCGCAAGCATCACGTTCTCCTGCTAAACCGGGCGATCGGTGACTTGCTGGCCGCGTGCACGGCAACGGCCAACGCTGGACTGGCGATCTGGTGGGAGGACTTGAAGTAGGTGATTTTGAACAAGTTTAAATCGTTATTTTAGTCGTGACATCGCCTTCCTCATCGAGTCCTTGTTCTTCGCAGCATTCTGGAGCGCGCTCGTCTCGTACACAAGTTTGTCCGTGTTAAAGGTACGTTTTCCGTTCCATTAATTAATTTTTTTGCGTTTAGCTGTACGCGGTGTGGCAACCTCTCGCCTACCGGAATACGTTCACCTTCGACAAATGCATCTATATCATTGTTTCGAGGTGAGTATGGATTTTATTTGCCATTTTACAAGTGTTTTCTTTTTTGATTTTTGACCTTTTAGGTTTTGCTAGAAGATTTATAAATATAAATTAATGCCCATTTCCAGCTGGATCGCGTTCGTAATCATCTGCGGAATGACGATGGGCGTGACGGCGTTGGTGCGCGTGCAGTGGATGAGCGAGTGGAGCGGGTCAGAAACGACAGGCCAATACTGACAACGTCTTTAGGTGTAAAGCGGAGACTTGTCTGCGGATCATGTACCGCTCTCGCAACACGTTCACCTGCTTCGTCTACGCGTTCACGATTGTTGTCTTCTTGACGACTGGTAATTTTTTTTAAAATACCTAATTGGTAACAGATTCTGGGGCTTTTGCATTATCGGGGGATTTTTTTAATATAAATAGTACAAATGTTTCTAAAAGATTTTTCTCTATTCCTAAACGTAAAAACTTGATAAATTTTATTAAAAATTCAAAAAGGCCGATTTAGGATAACCTTTTCTTTTTAAATTTTTTTTAAAGATCTTTTAGCTTTAAATACAGCATGTTTTGCCAAAAAATAGTCTAAGATAATTGCCATGAATTTAGTAGCCATTTCTGGACCTATAGAAAAAATCTGTGCCCCCCCCCGATAATGCAGCAGTACCCATTACTATTAATCCTTTTAGTGATTCTTCTCAAAAAGGCCGAGGGCAATTTGTTCGACGCTCGTCGCCAATCCACCACTTCAAATGGGCGTCAAAAAGTGACACGGTCAGTTTTCTCTTACACCATTTTTTTGGAATTGAACTGAATCTAACCATCTTTTTTAGATTTCCGCTCTGGAAACTGGCGTTGGGGGTGAGCACCTTTGCCGTCCTCCACGCACCACATGTCATCTGGTAATTCAGAGGTTTCTCGAAAAATTCATCTTCTGATATTCAGGAGCATCTTCCTGCTCAGCTCCTCCCATTGCCACTTTCAGCTCTATTACATGGAGAGTATGCGATTATTGGGTAAGTTTTTAAAATGAAAATAGCCCGTTTTAGCTCTGAAATAATAAGATTTCGTGAAATGAGCATCATTTATTTTTAAGGTTGTGGAACCGAAATTTAAAATTTTAGAAATATTTTTTAGTGCTTTTCTTTTATCGGGGGGGGACGACATCGCATTTTATATACGTCCAGAAATTCCTAGTAACGTAATAGTCAGTATCTTAATTGTGTTTTTAATAAAATTTAGCCATATTTCAAGCGGAAAAAGTATCTTAAACGTTTTGACAATTCCAAATTTCCGTCGAAAAATGAAAAGAGATTTTTTGGACTTTCCATAACATTTGTGAAGTTTGTGAGCTCTTAATTATTGTTAGTAGAAAAAAATGTCGAAAAGCTATTTGCATTTGAAAAAATGGGAAAAGCCCCCCGATAATGCGAAAGAACCGTGTCGTTTTGCAGCGTTCGTGCGTGGATCGATGATGCTGAGGATCATTTTGGACCCGATCGTGTCCTTCGTTATCGACTATCAGGTATCAAGGTTCAGGCCAATTTTAAACTTTTTTCCAGATTCGATTCCTGTTCCTCGACTGGCTGGGCGTGCCGCGCGGCTGGTGCTGCTACGCGCAACGCGTCCACAGCAGCACGATTTCCACGGATTCCGGTGGGTGTTATGAGGGTTCTACCGGAAACCGGAAGACCTTGAACCAAAAAAAGAAAACCGAAAAACAATAAAAACGAAAACCTTTCAGAAATCAAGCGAAAATCGACGGCACCGTCAATGGTAGAATAAGTTCCTGCCTTCAAATTTTTCGTAATTTGGTGCTATTCGTCCGTTATAATTCGTGGTTTGGAGCTTTCGCAATATCGGGGGGGGGTCTGTAGGTCCAGATACGAGATTCATTTTTTTGGAAAAATAGCTGAATTTATAGTGAAAAACAATTTCGAAAACCTAGAAAATGTAGGAATTTAATATTTTGATAGAAAAAAAACGTTTTTTTGTGGTTTTTAGTAAACTTGTTTGGTTTTACGCTTAGAAATGGCAAGAAAGTGTCTAGAAACAATTTTTCGCTTTATATTGGAAAACTTAGATCTTTCGAAACAGTTTGCCCGCCCCCCGATATTGCCAAAGAACCCATAAATTTTATACATTGTCAACCCCCACTTCCGCTGGTACGATCTCATCCCCGGTGCTTTTGTGTTTTTTTTTTGGGTTACTGAATAAATATTTCGAGCTTCGAAGCTTTTGTACCTTGAATTTGCATCCAGAATTTGAATCTGAAATTTGCATCCGGAATTTCCTGTTTCGTCACCGAGGAAAATCCCCAGCGAAAATCCACCCATTTTATACTCCCATTTAAAAATGAGGTTGGTTCGTAGGGTTTTATGCAAATTTTGCGCTGCTTTAGCCTGTCGGTGGCGTTGGTGGCGGGTCTGGCGGCGGCGGTCTGGTGGTACTTCTATCGGCGTCCGCAGGCGCAGCAGGCGGTGGCGGCCACGACAGCGTGTACATCTACCACATCGACGGCCACCGCTGTACGCGTACGTTTTGATGGGGGAAGCAATCCGCAAAGGGTCGTTGCTGGTTTGCCTGGTTTTAAGGGGGTAAGGCAACTGCTCCGCTCAACTCCTTTTTACGGGGGGGCGCGTAGTTAGGTACTGGATTGTTAGCGGGGGGGGAATAGATTGATTCCGTCCGGATTTATTTGCGTATTGATTTCTATATCAAGAATTTTAACACTTTACAAGTTGATATACAAACCCTAATTAACCCCCCCGATAACAGTTCAGTACCAATCCATTTACAGGAACCAGCACCCCTTCGGGCGATCGTTTCATCGGAATGCGTGGCACCGGCCCCTCCCCGACCTCCTGCTCCTCCTCCTCCTCCACCTTCTGCACCAGCTCCTGCTCCGGCACCTACCCCGGAAGCCGCGCCAATCCCATCGGTTGTCCCACCTACCGTACCCCAGGAACCGCCGCAGCAGCCCGCACAGCCAGGTGAGCTTTTCCGGCCTTGCGATTCTAAGAACCGTCGTACTTTCAGCCCCGACTCCGGCACCGGAAGTACAAATGGCCCCTGCTGCCCCCACGCAAGCACCGCCGGCTCCGGTTGAGGCTCAGCCGGGTAAGGACTAGAGTTTTTACTTTCGCAAAAGTCTTAGTAATCACCAACCTCATCTTTTTCAGCCCCGATACCCGTACCGGAAGCGCCGAAGGAGACGCCAGCTGCCGAGGCGCCAGCCCCGATCGCCCCGCCGGGCCCCGAAGCTCAGGCTCCCCCAACGGCACCCTCAACATCGGTAACTCAAAAAATCCAGAAGAAACCTCCTGCTTTAGCAACAACCCGAGTCGGGCGTCTCCACGGCGAAAGAGATCTCGCCCAGCCCGTCGGCCACCACCACCACCAACATCACCACCACCAACAGCAACAGCAACAGCCAAGTGCCCGTCGCGGCCCACCATGAAGCCCCCGACATTACAGTTGTAAGTGGTTTTCGTGATTTGAAAAAAGGACTGGCAAAAAACGGGATTCTCTCTGAATATGGCCAAGCCGCCTGACCACCTTGAAGTCGTCGGTTTCCATTAGAAGATAGTGCGCGCGCCGCGTTAGTTTTTAAACCCTTTTATAAAGCTGGTATTATTGACCTTCTACAATTTGTTTTTCAGGACTGAATGCCCGACAACGGCAATTTGAAGATTCGTGGTCGTTTCCCTCGGATGGATCGACCCCACCTGCCATGCCCTACTACTGCCCTCCTTCCCTCCCCAACCAACAGCCATTCTCCAAAGCATGAAATCATCAAAAATTACTCGTTGCCCCCCACTTGCCCCTCTCGTTGGCGTTGTCGTTTTTCTGTTTCCCCATCCACACCCGGCGTCTTCACCCACTTTCTCGAGCTGCTACTATACACGCCTTTTGGTCTCTGATTCGTCTTAATAAAGCCAGGAATGATGGACGATTTGTAAGGGCGGAAGTGTGGACTTTAAAGCGGCAGTTCGGCTGGCTCTCTCTGTCTCTGTCTCTCTCTCTCTTTCTCTTTCTCTTTCTCTCTCTCTCTCTCTCTCTCTCTCTCTCTCTCTGTCTCTGTCTCTGTCTTTCTCTCTTTCGCTCCCTTTCACTTACTCATTCTCTCACACACTCTCTCACTCCCTCTATCGCTCTCTCTTTCTCTTTGTTCTCTCTGGCTCTGTCTTCCTGTCTCTATCGCTAATTGCCCCTGACAAGGAAGTTATGAAATTTCCGAAAAAAACCCCCACCAGATACAGTACCATCCCGTGACGTGCCCGCCCTGACAAAACCAGCTGCCCCGTCTCCGCAGCAACACTCCAAAACACCTGCCCACTTTTGCCGCCATGACCTCCGAAAGCTCTAAAATTCCCACTTCCACTCTATTATTCTCGTATCCCCATCTTATTATTTCGGCCTAAATTTACAAAATGGACTTCTATATCGTCTACCGACAAACCATACTCCAGAACGACACCGAGCTGGGCGGCTGGCTGGCCGCCACCCTCAAGCCGTTCACCTGCGGTGGGTGGAGAGCAGTGATACCCTTCCCACCTCCCCCCGATAATGCGCAAGCACCTAGAATCCGTATGGCTTCTGCAGTCCTTCTAAAGTCCCCAAACGAATTGAGCATGTTCAGGCTACCTGAACTACTTGAGCGTGGTGCTGCTCGCGCTGTGCGGCTACCTCTTCTTCGCGCTGCTGGCATCCGCGCGGTCCGATCGCTTCTACTCGAACGGCTTCATCTTGGCGCTGGTGTTGATCCCGTTCTGGCAAACGGTGTTGCTGCTTTTCCATGAACTGCTTGGAGATGTGCCGCTGTCGTATCTTGGCATCGGGTAGGGTTGTATGGCGTAGGCTTGGGCTTAGACTTGACTTTCGGCTTAGGCTTAGGCTTATGTCTAAGCAAGCAGCTTTTCAGCTACCCGACCCAATTCCTGGTGTGGCACCTGCTGGGTACGGTATCGTTCGTGGCGGCACCCATTTGCACCTTTCTGTACATCTCCACCCATATGCTCGGCTTCATCGACAAGAAGCCGTACAGCGGAGTGTAAGGGAATTCACTGGAAAATAAGCCAAAATTAAAAACAACGAAAGTTCGTGTGTTTAGGTTCGTCTACGTGCTAATTGTCATATTTGCCGTGCTCCTCGCTGTGCTACTGTATTGGGTGGATAATGCCACCGTATTCCACGGGGTCTCCGCGCTGATTACCGTACTACCGTTGCTGCTACACGTGGCTACGCTGGCGATTGGGCTAATGGTAAGTGGACGTAGAGCGGATTGAGGAGGGTTAGCAGAGACCATTGAGGGGGGCTAGCAGAGAACATTGAGGAGGTCTAGCAAAGACCATTGGGACAGCCAAATACGCAAACTACATCTTACGTTTCAGTTCTGCTTCGGCGCGTGCGCCGCCTCGTTCCGTATCAGCATGAAGAAGTACTACAAGCCGGCAGCGTTCGTCTGTGCCCTTGTTGCGTTCGCCGGCTACCGTATCTGTAGGTTTATCGTATCGTAACGTAGCGGAGTGTATCGTACCTTACCGTATCGTGTCGTATAGTATACCATATCCCCGTTTTTCCAGTCATCCACTCGCGCTTCGTACTCACCGTCATCTACCAGCCCCTCACCAGCAAGGAGATCAAGAACTTTGTGCTCGATTGGCCGACGGTGGGTCATGCTCACCGGCAAACAAGCAGAGATTTTTGGGGAAGAACAATTACTTCAGATGCCGGCCTACGTGGTGCTGTTCGGCGTGTTATTCCCCGGGTTTCTCGTCATCCTGTGCATGGCCTTTTTCGTGCCCTATCGTAGCCCGCTGAAGGCGTTGAGGGGGCTGCTTTGCGGCAGATATCTACGGGGTCATAGGGTGGGTATGCCTAAACTTAGGCTTGGCTGAGGCTTGGTTAGGCGTGGCCTAGGCATGGATTAGGTTTGACTTAGGCTTGGCTTAGGCTTTGGCTATGCTCAAAACTTAACCTTTTTTAGCACTATCCTATCCAAAACGCGCGTGTGGCCAGCGGCGACATCGTGCCGATCGTCGTCAAGGAGGTCATGCCGGACAAGAACAGTCTCTCGTCATCCTCATCTACCACAATTACTACCCTAAAATAACTCCCTTAAGCTCAACAAGCTATAAATTTTTATGTATGACTTTCGAGACACTGTTAACCCAATTCTGTTGCTTGCTTACCTCCATATTCATAGTTTTAACCCGTGATTTAAATCATGAATTTGCATAAAATATTCGAGACGTTACAGTGCTAATTACACCCCATTCCGTCTTCATAGCCTCCCAAAAATGGGCGACACCGAAAAGTCGAACGATTCGAAGGACTCGAAGGACTCGAAGGCACCAAAACCGGGTCCCCCACTTTATTCACGGTTCGTCATCAGGCTTCTAGCGTACTTTTGACACAACTGTAGATTTGGTTGAACCCCCCCCGAATTCCTTCAGCCACTACAACATCTTCGCCGACGTCGAGGTGGAGCCGCGGTACGTCGATCTGCTGCACTGCAAGGACGGCCGCACCCAGCATATCATCTACAACCCCACGCCGTTGCCCATCGCATGCCATGTGGGATTTTAGATCATCTACAGGGCGCCTCAAAAGACCGCCAAACTTTGAGCTCCAGGTTCGCGGCACCGGCGGCGGCAAGCTGTCCTGCGACAAGGCGCCCTACTTCATCTGCGAGCCGGACAGCCAGACGAAAATCGTGGTGGGACCTCGCGACGAGTTGCTACAAATGAGAACACTCAGATTACACGCTACGATCCGCATCACATGGGCTCGCAGCGCGTCTCAATCGCCATGCTCCCCGTGGCTGATTGGTGCTTGGTGAGTGGGACTTAGGCTTGGCTTAGGCTAGGCTTAGGCTTAGGATTAGGCTTAGCTTTGACTTAGGCTGGGCTTCGGCTTAAGCGTGGCTTGTCTTTGGCTTGATTGGCTTAAGCTTAGGCTTAGCCTAGGCTTGGCTCAGGCTTGCTTAATGGCGGCGGCTTGACATAGGCTTCGGCTTGGCTTTGGCTTACCTACTCCTTTTAGAATGTGCCCGACTGGCGCAAGTTCCCGGCTCGCCTCTTCGGGCCTTCCGAGGTTCCGGTGGTGTACAAGATACGGTAAATGGTGCGCAAAGTACACCGTATCCTCATAGATTCCGCGGCGCTCCCCCGTACACCCGCGAGCTCGTCGAGCTGCACAAGCCGTTCGCCGTGCCGTTCGACGTGAGCGTCTACCTCAAGAAGATTGGCGTCACTAACGATACGGTAGGCAGTAGATGAACTTAAGCTAATGCCTAAGCGTAAGCTTGAGCTTAAGCCTAAGCTAAGGCTAAGACTAAGCCTAAGCCAAGCCTAAGCTGTGATTTTTCCTCATTTCAAGGAGCAACTAACCGCCAACGAGGCCGGCATCCTCTCCACGATGATGAGTCTGACGTTTGAGGACGATCTGACGCACAATTCGTTGGATGTAGCCCTTTTCTGCCTACTGTATCCGGGTCACCTTTCAGCAAACGGGCCGCATGGATCCGTGCTATCCATATCCGGTGAACTGTCGATTCCAAGGAATCCCCGGCGAGCCACCTGCCCCTGCCCTCAAGACTCGATCTCTCGAACGGGTTCCTCTGTCGAAGGGAACCACCAAGACACGATCCACCCAGGTGATTTGGGACTGGGTTGTCAGCGGGGGGAGAGGAATTTTGGTTCTAGTTTCTTAGCGGGGGGGATGGTGGAAAGGCGGATTTATACAAGGTCTTCAGAAATCGTCGTGCCCTCCCCAGGAGACGTGCAGCAAAACCGCCATCGCCCCGTCCACCCGCACAAAGAAGTCGAAGAAGTCGTCGATATGCCAGTGATGAAATACAGAAGACAAAAGATAATAAAGTATCCACCGATTGTTACAGAATCGTTCATGTGCTTTGTGATCGAAATTAGCCCTGTGAATGTTGAATAAAGTATTTATTGTATTGGCACGGTTGTGGAGGTCTAGCCGAGACCATTGAGGAGGGCTAGCAGAAACTATTGGGGAGGGCTAGCAGAGACCATTGAGGAAGGCTAGCAGAGACCATTGAGGAGAGCTAGCAGAGACCATCGAGGAGGGCTAGCAGAGACCATTGGGGAGGTCTAGCCGAGACCATTGAGGAGGACTAGCAGAGACCATTGGAGATGGCTAGCAGAGACCATTGGAGATGACTAATCGAATTCCGCACGACACCTGCAAAAACTGAGAAGCGTTTGCACTGGTTCAATCCCTCTCTCTCGATTGTATATGACCCGGCTGAATCGCGGGACGCGGGGAAACAAAAGCCGAATGGGAAGGGCCCTCTCGAGGAATAGCGAGAGATCCGATCCGGGTCTCTGACCGGATCCGAGTGCGCGTCAGGCATCATCTAGCTGCCCTCCACATCGGCCCCAGTCTTGCCGTTGTTTGTCTCCCCACAGCCTTCTGTATCCCGTGATCTTTGCCGTTTCCGTTTTGCCTGATCAGCGTGGTGCCCTAGGGTCGGCAGATTTTTCAAAATCCAGGCGACCCGTGTAGCAGGGCGTAATTTTTTCTTGGCAATCCTATGCGGCTCCGAAACGAAATTAGAACATATTTATACGTTTCACCCAGGTTTTTGGAGATAAACAATTCATAATAATCGATCAAATTCCTAACGATTTCGCGTGAAGTTTCATAAAAATTCTTTCGTTCTAAAATTTTTCAAACACTTTTGAAGAATAGAAAATCAGAACTTATTTGATACAACCACGAAAAATGCTAAAATGGCAATTTTTCGCTCAAGTGCTTCCAATTCTGGCCACGAAATCTTCGCCACTTTTTGCATAACGCCCCGCGGGGCCAGGGTGGTATCATCAGATCCACCACAGCAAACACTCAACTCGCCGCGAATTGGAGTCCGCATCCAGGGCTCGCGCTTCGCGCGCATTCTTTAGGATTGTTGGCGCTAATTCAGGGTAGCAAATTTGGTCCCTTGACTTTCTAAAAGCGGTCTGTTGATCTCTCTCTCTCGCCCTCTCCCTTACTCTCTGTCTCTCTCTCACTCTCTCACTCTCTCTCTCTGTCTCTCGCTCTCTCGCTCTCTCCCTCTCATTCTCTCTCACTCTCTCTATGGGAATTTCTCGCTCGATCCCCCATTGTCGTTAATTCGTCAGTCGGATACAAAAATTGGCCCAGATGACGCGACTGCCCTTTCAAAACACCTGGTTTTTTTGGATTAATGGGCGGGATAATCCCTTCCGGAAGGTCGAGTCATTATTGCATTTCTGAATCTCTGTAGACGTTTAATATCGTCAGCCACTTAATTTTAACGCCAAGTAATTTTTTCATATTTTTTGGTGAGTTGCTTTTGGCAGATAACATAGAATTTCGGCGCTGCACTCTTAACGGGGGGGGGAGGGTTGCGATCAAGGCCAATTTTAGCGAATAGCGAAAATACCCGATTTTACACGGTTTATAGATGGAAAAACCACGCAATATTGAAAGGCATTTTTGACAAAAAATAACCATAAATGGAGAAAAACTTTCCAAATTATGTTTTACCAGGGTTGAAAAGCCGCTACGCGGCTTTTCACCCCTGGCCTTCGCGCGGAGATCTTTCGAAGCTGGGCACTTTGCATAATTCTAGCGAATTAGCGCCAACCTCTCAACCCTAATAATCACAAAACCGACCGACTGAGAGCGTGACAAAATCCGAAATGAGCTTCCTAACGCTCTTATGCAAATGAGCTTATTTCCATATGTTTTTAATTCGCTAAAATAAGGTATAAATCGTCATTTTATTAAAAATCTGATAAGCTTGCAGTAATCTATGCCCTCGACTACCCCTAAATACCTCTCGACACGGTCCCAAAATTCTTCCCCCTGCCCGATATCTTGGTAACCCGGTTTTTTCGAGCGATTTATGCAAAGTGTCCACACACAAACACACAAACACTATTTTTTTATATATAGTAGGATACAGGGGTCCCAAAAAAACGAACGATCTGGCATTTCGCCGTGTTACATCCAATCGGTCCCAAATTTGGGCCAGAGGTGTATCAGACCCTAAATAACAACAATCCTGACTTATAGCCTTGTAGCTATAGTAGTTTTCGAGTTATGGCAAAAACAAACTTTATTTTCTATTTTTCATAGGGTTTGCGTGGAATTAGATCCACTAAACATTAAGTGAAAACGATCCGGAAGGCCTCCTTTACCTTACGAAATTTTTTCCAGAAAATATTAATTAAATAAGCTTTGATTTAAGCGAATTTTACAACGCAAAATCACCCAAGTTCTTAAGCGAAATTAGGGATTCGCAGCCGGAAGCCGATACAAATCGATGCAAAGTCCAAAAAGATAGCCGAAAAACTGTCTCATACACCTCTGGTCCAAATTTGGGACCGATTGGATGTAACACGGCGAAATGCCAGATGGTTCGTTTTTTTTGGGAGACCCTGTATATGCTTGAAAGCACACACTAATAAAAACCAAGAAAGACAAAATTAGACATGGATTACCCTTAATTGGTGGAACAGTGAAAATTAGCTTCGACCACCCCCTAACAGTCCGATGCCAGGAGTCGCCTGTACAGGATAGTCATGCCATATTTTGTAGGCTACTTTCTTTTTTAATGGAGTTCTACTAGTTTCTTTACGTTTCCAATGCTAACTATCAGCGATGCTTCGAAGATGGCGAACGAGAGCCGTGCTGTTATGCATCGCCTTCCTCTTTCTACCCTTACTCGAGCCCGTGGAGGCCCGAGTGCCTGGCATACGATTTATGAGGTAAGTCGACTTATGGGAAACTAAGGAAAACCGGAAATTGGAAGAGTAGGGCCCCCATTTCAGTGATCCGATCGAGTTGCTGCTCCAGGATAGCTACTCTTCCCTGAAGCGGAAGAGCGCCTACAACCGCGACAAACCGCCGCGCACAAGGATCATTGTGAGTCCAGGGTTTTTTGGTGTGATTAACCAACTTAAGAAGACCCGTTGGTTTTGCTATTGTAATGGCAAATTCATAATGGTAAAATGTCATAATTTCTATTTTTCAATTTATCGAGCTTTTTGACATCGGATTTTCGGGGGATTAGTTTAGGTAATGTTCGGTATTATGAAATTTCGAGAATTTTAGATCACTACATTATGAAGTTTAGCTAATTCTTGTCATTTTAGCCATCAAAATCAACACTTTCAAAGCGATAAATTTACGCGTTTCCACTAAAATACTCGCGTGCGCGGCCATGCTGCGATTTTGGCTGTCTATTTTCCGAGAATCTACGCATTTTAAAGCACCGAAAATTCAATCAAAGATTTTAAACAATTTTTCAGGTGCGAAAACGCAAATACAACCCCCTGCCGACATTCTACACGTCGAATTTCGGGTTTGCCCCGATTTCGCTGCATCGACGCCAGAACTCGTTGCCGTATACGGAATTGCTTTTCGCCGGCAGGCGATAAATAAATATTTATCACATTTAACGGAATGGATCGGATTTTAGAAGGCGCATGGTTTGAGGCGGGCCCAAACGGTTTGGCCCTCGTAGATGTAGCCGGGTATCTAGGAGATGTAGTTTGAAACTATGCTTTCGCTAGGGATGTTCTTGACGGTGGAACGAGACACGCAACGCGTACGCTCGTATTTATTGCGTAATCGATTACGACAGTTTTCTAACAACATGTCAAAATTTATTTTTTTGAAATTCTTGTCCAAATTTCAATTTTTCGCGAAATTCAATCGCAATTTCAATTTTTGAAATTTCTTTTTGTCAAAATTTATTCATCTCCACATTGGCAAACATCTGCTTTCTAAAACGTCCAGCAAATCAAAAATCAGATTTGAAAAATGTCGAAAAAAGAGAAGAAAGCGACAACCAATTATTATCGAAAATGAATTTCGAAACCCTAATTTTCGATAAAAATATTGGCAAAATACCGATTAAGACCGACTCAGTTTGTCGACCTACCTTTGTTGCCGCATCACACCGAAAATTGGCAATTTGCCAAGTTCCTTGACGAGATCCGGCGGGGCCATGCGGTGCCTAAAAACGGCTTGAATGTCTCCAAGGTGAAGCCTACTCCTTGAGCATCTGCAGCGGCTGCCCCAGGGTCCTTGGTCCCCGTTTCCGGGTCCACCGTCGCGAAAATACATATAAAAATGCGTTAGGAGCCTCTATCCCGAACCCTCTCTCGTCGAACGGGTAGAAGACCATGCTTCACTTGATAATTCTCAAAAAATATTATTTGCGAATGTGTTAAAATAGATAACCTTATAGGCTTCAGCGATTAACAGGGCCGGAGTGATCCAGGTATCAGCTGGATGAGAAGACGCCTCGATAATTTCTTCTTCTATGCTTTCTCGATCATCTTCGGCGCTGAGCCTTGGATCTGTTGTGGTTGAAGCTACCATAATGCCGATGAGAGCGCGATCAGCAGCGTAGCAGGGGCCTCCGGAGTCTTCGCCATCAATCGACGAACTGGCCAAGAAACGTCCTCTGTGGTCCACGGAATCCGAACATATCCGACCATTTCGATGGGTAATTTGCCGCCCATCTTCGGTCTCACGACTTACAAGGGAAGGGCACGTGGACGAAGTGGAAATTCGGAAAACGCTCGCGGCTACCCCCGGGTAATCGACTACGGAGAACACGATGCCGTTTTCAGAATTTCCTGCGGAGGCCTGTGGACAGAGATACAGCACTTCCGGAAAATCATGATTTACATGTGAAAAATTAGCAGTTCAGGGAAGCCTTATTAGGTTCTCCCATTAGTATGGAACTACCAGTTGAATGGTCAAGTGGTAAGCAACTCGCTTGCTAGGATTGTGGCCAGGGTCCGGATCCGCTCACGATTTTTTCGTTTTGCTTTTTGGCAAAAATTTTTTCAGAAGTCCAGAAATTTCTTGATTTTCGAAAAGACTTTTTGCGTGGCGAATATCATAGATTTACCTATGCAAAAAAAAATAGAAAATAAAAAGTATTTGGATAAAATTGTCATCCAATGCCCCAGCGCGCGAAATTTTTATAAAGTTTGTGCAAATATCTTCAATTTTGTAGCTCTGCGATAACGCCTTAATCGAAAAATTTCGAAGTATTATGAAAAGATAGCAATGGTGACTTCTGCAAAAAAAATTTTTGCCGAAAATCAAAACGAAACAAACGTGAAAGGATCCGTACCGTGGTCAGTATCCTAGCAAGCAAGTTGCTTACCACTTGGCCATTCAACTGGTAGTTCCATACTAATGGGAGAACCTAATAAGGCTTCCCTGAAATGATAATTTTTCGCATGCAAATCGCCATTTTCCGGAAGTGCTGTATCTCTGTCCACAGGCCTCCGCAGGAAATTCTGAAAACGGCATCGTGTTCTCCGTAGTCGATTACCCGGGGGTAGCCGCGAGCGTTTTCCGAATTTCCACTTCGTCCACGTGCCCTTCCCTTGTTAGACCAAACCCGATAAACGACTCAAAAGTCTTCGGTGATCGTTTGGAATACGGGTAGTCTTCAAAAATCTCGCTTCCGTCCACTGAACGAAGAATAACAAAGTCGTGATGAGTGTCGACAACGATCACCTACAATATCCTACTATATATAAAAAAAGTAGTGTCTGTGTGTGTGTGTGTCGATTTGCATGCAACTTCCGTCTCTATGTCCGGAGGATAACTCAATAGGGGATGAATTTATGGTGCGTATGATACGTCATTAGGTGCGCAATGGCTCTGCAATGACTGCACACTTTTCAGAATTATCAAAATAAGCTATTTTCGATATTAAAAATTGGTTTTTCTAAAATTTTCGGGTACACTCTTTGTTAGGCAACAATTAGCATATACCGGAAGTAGATGAAGCCTATATAAAGGGATGGAAGGAAAGCTTTTCATTTTTGGACAGCTTGGTTGAGGCGGAATTATGCAGTTTACAATTTCATTTGTCCAAACGGGGCCAGGGTTGAAAAGTCGCGAAGCGGCTTTTCAACCCTGGTATTGAATTAATTAGCCAAAATGTCTTTTAAGATACCTTCATCTTGTGTCGAATACTGTGATCCTGAGCATTTCTTATCTCCACAAGACTGTGCGTATTGACCTCGTCATTCTGCCCTTCGTCGTACTCTCGTAGTACTTTGTGAGATTTGTGTGCATATGTCACCGCCGCCCTTGACGAAATAGGCGATACACAGCCACCGTCAATCACGCCATCTTGTAGAAGTTCTGCCGAAGTTTTCTCGTCATCTCGAAGAGCTTCTTGTCCGCGCGGGATGAAATAGAGACGAATGCGGAGCTCTTCTGCTAGTTTCTCTGAAAAACCAGCAATAAATTGTTAGACCATGAAAATATCATACCGTCGAGGACGTAAGTTGACTTAGAACGTTTCCGATGGCCGGACAAATTCCCTGAAATGCATATTTTAAGTAAAAATCCCAATTTTTACATAAAAATCTACAAATTAAAGATGGTTAATGTCAGATAATAAATTCAAATCGTAACTCATACAAACCTTTGAAACCCATGGAAGAATTAGGTTGAGAGGGTGCTTTGTTCGATTCCACAAAAAATTGAAGCGTTGGGAATTGGGCGGGAAGTAGGAAAGTCGTTCCAGACTCGTTTACACTAAATGAAATACATTCAGAAACAAATCAACTTGTCTTACCAACAAAATTTGTGACGGCCATTTATATCGTAGGAAAGCGCAAGGAGCGCATCGTCTCTGAGCAAGAAGGCCGATTTTATGGAACTCTTCGTGATCGTGTTATCCGGCAAATCCATTTGGATGTCTTTATCAATCATCCGTATATTTATGGTTTGATCCATTTTCGCGGTGACTAATCTGAAAACAAAGAATTATTTGTTCACACGTACTCTGTCATGATTCAATTCGAGAGAGAGAGTGCGAGAGAGAGAGAGAGACAGCCAGAGCGAGCGGGAGAGAGAGAGATAGAAAGTAGGAATAGTTGTTAACTAAAGGTTAAGGAGAAAATAACAATGATAATCAAGGATGGGTAATCACGAAATGAATGTGAACTACAGAAGAAAAGGAACCGTTCAATTCACAAAAGTTAATGGCAGATTGCGGCGACATTGGCAGTTTCTCCCCTCTCTCTGCCCCTCTGCTCGCGCGTCACTCTCATCACCCTGCCACTCTAGCCCAACGCGTTTGCGTGTCTCGTTGCCGTATACGGATTTGCCGTTCGTCGGCAGGCGATAAATAAATATTTATCACGTAAAGGAATGGATCGCATTTTAGAAGGCGCATGGTTTGAGGCGGGCCCAAACGGTTTGGCCCTCGTAGATGTAGCCGGGTATCTAGGAGATGTAGTTTCAAACTATGGTTTCACTAGGGATGTTCTTGACTGTGGAACGCGACACGCAACGCGTACGCTCGTTATTATTGCGTAATCGATTACGCAATGAATTTGTTATCAATATGTCGAAATCAATTTTGTCGAAAATTTATTTTTCGAGATTCTGGTCCAAATTTCATTTTTTCGAAATTCTGTCGAAATTTAATATTTTGAAATTTCTTTTTGTGAAAAATTATTCATCTCCACATTGGCAAAGATCTGCTTTCTAAAACGTCCATCAAATCAACAATCAGATTTCGAAAAAGTGTCGAAAAAAATGAAAAAAGTCGACAACAAATGATTACCGAAAACGAATTTCGAAACCCTAATTTTCGACGAAGATTATTGGCAAAATACCGATTAAGACCGAAGCAGTTTGTCCTCCTACCTTTGTTCCCGCATTCACACCGAAAATCGGCAGTTTTCCGAGGTCCTTGACCAGATCCGGCGGGGCCATGCGGCGCCTAAAAACGGTCTGAACATCACCAAGGTGTAGCCTACTCCTTGAGCATCTGCAGCGGCTGCTGTGCCGGATCCTTGGTCCCCGTTTCCGGGTCCACCGTCGTGAAGATGCATCTGAAAACCGTGGTAGAAGCCTTTCGCTTCCGCCTACCGCGTGCACGGCTTGTAGCATTGCAGCACCGTCGAGTCCGAATGGTCGCCAAATCGCAGCTCTGACCACATATCCTCATCCCAAGCCTGTGAGCATTTGTCCACCACGATGTTCCCTCGGAATTGCACGCTGTTGATCTGTATACGGTAGTTGGTGCGTTTTTTAGTGGTTTTTAGCGAAATTTAGCTATATCGTATCAAAAATATCTAAAAAATTCGAAATTTCCTTGGAAATTGGCCATTTTGGTAAAAAAAAATCGACATTTTTGTACTTATTAATAAAGGTTAATACTATTTATGTTTTTAATAGTTCTAAAAGTAGCCCTACAAGAATTTAAAAAAAAATGGCACCCCCGCAAACGAGCCAGTACCGTACAGCTTTACCTAAAATCCACCTACCGGATTCTCGCTCCGCCCCAACAGCTCGTTCACCTCGTCCAGCGACTCCTTGGTGGTGATCATAAACTGTGCCAGGTCGACGAAATAGCTCTAAAGAGTTTTTCGATTTTTCTAACGATGTTTCGAAAAACTTTTCCAAGCTCTAAACTATAATACGAAATTCCCACGTCGTCCCGCCGCTCCGTTGGCACCGGATTCCTCCACCACCCGGCATTCGGGATCGCCGTGCGTTCCGTGAACAACTCCGGGCTGTAGACGACCATCCGCGCGTCTAGATACACTTCAAATATCATGCCGTAATAAATTACCCTCCTCCAGGACCTCGCTCAAAAACGCGGCCACCTCGTCGCCGCAGTCGTACCCGTCCTGGCGGAGTTTGGCGTGGAGCCTGCAAGAATTTTAGAAGGCTTTAGCATTGCCAAAGCTCTCTAAGCTCTTAAAATCCCAATAAAAACACCAACTCTGCGGGGAGGACCTGCTTTCGTCGATATACCTCTTCAAGATCCACTTCCAGCGTCTTCCCCTTGTAGGCCAGCTTGATCTTGCCATCCCTAAACGAGGTTGTAAGCTTTTCAAAGCCAACTTACTCCACAAAACAATCCAATAATACGAGTTGAGGGTTGGCGCGTCCGGTGAAGAAGCTGAACAATTGTTTGGACCTTGTCTGTTAACGGGGGTTGGGATTTTTAACGGGGGGGTAACTTACCTTTTTCTCTGATACTTCCGCCGGCCTTATATTCGAAATATAAACCATTTTCATGACAATTCACACTGTTTTTAGATATAAAAAGCTCACAAGAAATCAAAACTTTCGAAGAATGTTAGACTTTTTTGATAAAAAAACGCATGAAAAAGGACCAAAAAGGTCAGAATTTTTGATTTTTACATTTTTCTATGACTTTTCTACCTTTCTAGAAAACAAAAACAGCTAAAATGGTACCCTATATACTATTAACAGGTTGGTAGGTGGTGGTTAGAAAGCTAAACCGCCGTTTTCGGCCGGTTTTAGTCATGTAAAAGCCAAAGAACGGACTGTCCATCCGGATGTACGGCGAGGAACATTCTGTCGCGACTCTGCATATGCCGAGCCCCCATATCGTCACAATGCAACGAGAAAACCCGACGACCTCGGCACGATTTCAGGGGGTAGATGTACAGATCGCGCACACGGCCGACCGGCACCCATTCGCTGTCGTTGTCATGTTTCCGCGTGATCAGTCGATATAACTAAATCAAGAGAAATTTTCTTGACTTTTAACGAGGGGGGCCTAGATGAACTTTGAGATTTCGACTTTTTCTAATTTTCTAAAGATGCTTCTGAGTTTCTAGTAATCAAAAACAATCTGTGAAACCTGTAACTTTCAAAAAACCGTAAATACGTCGTGCAACGCTAGAAGTTGCGATATTTAGAGGCTAACCAGCTTTTCCACCCCCCCGCTAATAGTCCAGAATCGGAAAAGTAAGGCATCTAGAAAAGTAGTAGGTAAGTGGTAGAAGATTTCAAGCAAAATGTGAAACCAATTGAAAAAGTGTTTTTAGTACCTGAAGCGCCGCCATGGAGCCACCAACGAAGCCGGCGAGCATTAGGGAATCCTGTTTGGACAGCATCCTATCCTACTATATATAAAAAAATAGTGTCTGTGTGTGTGTGTGTGTATATTTGCATGCACTTCCGTTTGGATGTTCCGCACCTACAGCCTCGGGAAAGGGTTTTTTGGATAGGGAAGAAACGACAATAGGTTTAGAATGGTCCGGAATCGACTGCACACACTTAAAAATTTTGAAAAATTGTGGTTTTCGCTATTAAAAATAGGTTTTTGTAAAACCCTGTTTGTTAGGGGAAATTAGCATGCGCCGGAAGTAGGAGGGCCTATATAAAGGGACAGAGGGCCGTTTTCACTTTTTTTTGCTAGAATTCAGGGAGAAACATGCAAATTAAGGACTTTCACAGGTCCTGGACGGGGCCAGGGTTGAAAAGCCGCGAAGCGGTTTTTCAACCCTGGTTTCTAAAAAAAACGGTTGTAGAAAAATGCCGATTTATTAACGAAAACAGCAATTACTTAGATCAATTCAATTAAAAAATTAGCTATAGCTATTGAAAGATTGGCTGAACGTTGAAAGATAAATTTTCGAGAGATAAAAGGGAGGGCGTGATAAGGATCGGACACCGAATTGACCCCGTGTCAGGGGTTAGGTATCGATTTTTAGGGCGAAACGCTGGGTTAATCTGTGCTACCGGGTAATAACTATTTGTATTTAATAAAATAGGCATTTTTTGGCACAATCTAAAAGTCTGCAGAAACCTTAGAAATTTGCTATGGATACGTTTGAGCCGTTTTAAAGGTGGTCAGCTTTTCAGATGAACATGTTTTCTGAAAATTACTTCTATTTATTAAAATAGCAATATCATAATAAATTCTTTTAAAATTATTCCTTCAAAACGCGAGCATTTTTGCTCTTCTACGTGACCTTTCTGCCTCCCCACCGACATACCTCGACAGGGCGCGCCAGCCCCACCTTGCAGCGTGGCCTAACGGCTAGCGGGTCGGGCCCACGGGGCGGGGGTCCGTGGTTCGACCCCCCGCCGCGGCGACACCCACCCGGATTCAGCTTCACTGATGACACTCGTGGTCTGTGCAGAACATTCCTATGTAGATAACCCTTCGTACTACTGCTGAGAAGCTTTTTGCAGGGCTTGCCAGGGGTACGTATTTTGTTTTGTTTCGATTTTAGCATACTTAAAAAATCATATATAGGATCCGTGCTAATAAAAATATAGAAAAAAGTTATGTATTAAAAGTACACTTCTTTTAATCAACGCATCATTTAATTCCGTTTACTGCCCTTTCGAGCGGTATACAAAGTTAATAACGAATTTAAAATAGGTAAACCTGTATTTTTCAGTATTTTATATTTTTTAAAGTCTTTCGAAGCGTAAGGTCTTTATCTAAAGTTAGTTGTTTCTTTTAGTTAAGTCAGTAATTTACTTTATTTATTGTCTTTTTGAGGCTATGCAAAATTAAACGAATTGAGCTTAGAAAAAGATAAAAATGTGGTTTTTCTAAAATGTAAGATTTTAGAAATCTTATCCAATTTTTATTGTTATTAAAGTAACCTGTTAATGTTGACCTAGTGTCATTCATCAAGCTTAGATCTTG